CTGGGATACAAAAATAAAATTTTATTGGGCATAGACAATTTTCAGGGGAGAACACTTAACACTCGGGAAATTTAAAATACAGGGCCCTGAAATTGGGGGGAAATCTTTAATACCTAGAAAAACACTAAAATATGGGAAAATACTTTATATAAATATGATTAACCTTAACTAAAGAAACACTTAACTTAATCCTATAATCGCCCCTACTGGCTCGCCTTACCACACCTAGCCTAGGGGGCCACGACCTCCTAGATTCCAACGGAACGGCACGGTTCCTTCGGGAACAGTAAGACTAGAAACGACTCAACCACTACTAAATGTGCGATCACTTAGTCGTTGAATCGGTGCTAAGTAGTTTACTAGCCCATCCCTCAGTAGCCTCAACTACCTTCATGGATTTAACGTTTTCCTTAGCGTTTTGGGTCGCCCTCGGATAAATCCCCTGGCGTCCCACAGATAAATCCGCCCAGACAGCCCACAAGGGCTGTCTGCCCTTGTGGGCTGTCTGGTGGTCTGGAATTTATAACTACCCTTATAAATTCCAACACAACAAATGTTATGATTATATGTATAAATATCCCCCTTTGCTACACTAATATGATGACCTACTGAGGGCGTGTGTATATGTTACATCGAAATATACTAAGCTTAAACACTAATTTAAAATTAAAGTATGCTAAGATATAATAATATTTGATTGCCACACCCAAAAAATAACACACTTGTACATAAAACAAAAATACACAAAATTAAAACATACAACATCAAATGCATGTGTTTACACACACAATATCACATTTTACATACAAAATATGACATTTACACAAAATATTGCATGTAGACTCAAAGTATGACATTTACACAAAGTATGGTATTTGCACATATGTAACAAATTGCATGTACTCTAGTACAAACAAAATGCACTTTAAAAAATTATACAACTTCATAAACATCACTTCACAAAATATTTAAACATTATCACAAAAAAACACTTAAACTTCCACATGAAGATCTTATTTTTTTAATTATAACACATATAGAACCTACACAAATACACAATTTATACTAAATACAATTGCTTAAGTTCCACAACGTCATTAAACACAACTTAAAAAAAAATCACTTCAAAAAGCTTGAAACTCATATTGTATCTTGCATTACCCACTTCCCCAATATTAGTACTTAAGAAATATATTCTTACGAATGTAATCACTTCTCTCAATTTATATTGTAGTTATTTGTTGATATAAAACCTTGCTAAAATGTACCCATTCATCTTACCTGATATGTTAGATTAAGGATCTACCCGAAACGCTATGCGTGTTAATGGCTTTGCATGAATGTAAAAATGCCAATCTTATGTCATCTCACCAACCCATTATACCTTCTTGTGAATAAATTATTATTATTATTATTATTATTATTATTATTATTATTATTATTATTATTATTATTATTACTAGCTGTACCCAGCCACAGCAACCTTCCCCTGTCTCCCAGTCCTCCCCACCATTCCCCCCCTCACCCGTCCCCTCATTCTCCCAACCATTCCACAATCCCCCAACCACTCTTCCTCCCAACTATTCCCCACTCCCTCGTTCACTCGTCCTCCCCACCATTTCCCCCCTCCCCCATCCCCCACTCCACCGTCCCCTCATCCTCCCCACCATCTCCCCCTCCCCCGTCCACTCGTCATCCCCACCGTTCTTCATTCCCCTGTCCCCTCATCCCCACCATCCCTAACTCCCTCGTCTCCTCGTCCTCCCCACCAGTACCCCCTCCCCTGTCCCCTCGTTCTTTCCATCATCCCCCCACTCTCGTCCCTTCATCTTCCCCACCATTCCCCACTCCTTCGTCTGATGCATTCCCAAAGGATCTGATGTTCCCATCACTGAAATACAAGAAAAACAAAAAAATACACAACTTGCACGAAAATACACAACTTGCCCAAACAATACACAACTCGCCCAAACAATACACAACTTGCACGAAAATATACAACTTGCCCAAACAATAGACAATTTGTGGGAATATAATCAATTCACAAATGCGATCATCACACAGCTTGTGCAAAATACTATCAATACATAACCTGCACAAATATACCACTTGTACAATTAATACAGAATTTGCACAATTATAATCATTGTACAATTTGTACAAATATAATCACACACAACTTGTTGGTCAATCAATACACAATTTGCAGAATATTTTCCAAGATATGTTTAGTACATCATTTATAATATGCTAAGTTTAACCAAAACTGCTCCCCCCCAAAAAAAGTCATAATTTCACATTACTTGAATCGTACATCTGGCATCCTAATAGCTCAGTCCTCATAAACACACATATATTTCCATAAATGTTTCAACATTATTAATACTAAACTGTTCTGTTCATCTAGTTTATGACCATTGTTTTTAATACCTTAATAATACCCCCCCCCCCTTGTTAAATCCTCTCCAATCATGTCACTCCAAATTTATTGAGACAAACCGTCCTATTGTCTTTAACCGTCTTATTGTAACAGTCTTCCTGTAACTGTCTTATTGGATTTAACCTTAGTTAAATGCATCCCATTAAAACCTAAATTTAACTGAATCTTGCAAAATTCCACTTAACATACCCAAATTTTACCCAATTCGACCTAACAAAATCTAAACTAGCTAAATATCAGCACCCATATCCTCACATACAAGCCTGTGTGTCCTCAAAAACGTGTCCTCTGTCCATCCATTACAAGAACAAGTTATAACTCGAACCCAAATAGGCTAATTTACACTATTCTCTAAACAATCTAGTTCATTACCCTTAAGAGGTTAAATATCCTATCCCACACAACCTTACCTAACCTCACCTAAAACATCCAAAGCTAGATTTAATTAAGGTTGGCAAAATTTAAGCTGTCCCACCTAAATTTTACCTAATTTAAGACAATTTTTACCATATTTTTTTCAAATTTACCGTATCAGAATACAACCAAAGCCCAATTTAACCAAGTTAAATCTAACCCATCTAAATGTAATCTATTTCCAATATCCAGTCACTGCATATCATACCCCCATTCCCAAGACCATTTCATAGTGTTAGTGCTTTATCCGTCTATTTATTTCCAATATCCAGATGTGTTTTTCTAACATCAACTTTACCAAACAAAACCTAACCCAACCCAACCCAACCTAACACAACCAAAAATGAATTTACCAAATTTATCCCAGTTCAAGTCAATTCCACTAAATTTATTCTAATTATATCAAACCAAAGTCAAATTCTACTAAATGTATCTAAGTGCATCACATCCTGAGCTGAACTTAACTGTTAGAATTGTTAATGCTTACTTCCAACTTCTATTCCACCCTGGGTCACAGATGATTTTGGCTAATATATTCTTAGAAGTGTGTTGTTACTGGATATTTTCCTCGTATTACCTCAACTCAACCTCCTGAAATCTAAGCTTTAATGCAATATATATACTTAGGAAAGTGTTGATTTTGGATATGAACCTAACAGACATGTACCTAACCTGAATGGATCTATGTTCAATATTCCAACTGTATTGCTAGGAAAGTGTTTGTTTTTACGCATTAACTTATCCACCCTGTATCTAACCTTCTTGGATCTTTGTTCAATATTGCAAGTATACTGATAGGAAGGTTGTTTTGGCTATAAACCTAACTTACCTGTACCTAACCTGCATGGATCTACGTTCAATATTCCAGGCAAAGTTTATGCTTTTGGACATGGACTCTGCCACCCTGAACCAAACCTGCCATGACCAAACGTCATATGTATCGTATTTTTTTTTTGGGGGGGAGGGGGGGAAGTGTTTTTTTGCATCAACCTAACCACCCTGAACCTAACCTTTCTGGATCTTAGTTTAATACTCCAGGCAAAGTTTATGTTTTTGGACATGGACTCAGCCACCCTGAACCTAACTTGCCTTGACCTAACGTCAAATGCATCGTATTTTTTTATTTGGAACGTGTTGTTTTTTGCGTCAACCCAACCACCCTGGACCTAAGCTCTGATACTAGGATCTAGGTTCAATATAACATTCTATTTTTAGCCAAGTTTGATTCTTGGGACATTGGTTTCACATCAATACAACCAACCCATCCCAACTTAACCTCTATTTCCTCGGTTAATTGAAATGTGTTATTATTGGATCTTTTCTCTACATCAGCTCAACTTAACCAACCTTAACCTAACTGTATATACCTAGACCTGAACTCCATTTTACATCATATTTGTAGAAAAAGATATGATTCATTATATCTTAAAAATTTACCTTAACCTAACTCATATCTAGAGGGTTCATATCTCCCCCTCTTCTCTAACTTCGAAATTATACTATATATTTGATGTAGGAATATATTTTCACATATTATCCTAATATATTCCCAATTAACTCTAATTTATCCATAATAAATGTCATTTTATCTTACTTTGCCAATATTTTACCCTAGGTTTTGTCATATTATCTTAATTTATCCAAAATTTACCCTAATTGATGATATATTACTCTAATTTTCCATAATTTAGAAAAGGTAGCGGGGTCTTCCTACCTTGCCTGAAACGCTATGCGTATTTAGTGGCTTTAGGTATTGTATGTACTAGCTCTATCTTTAAATCCAACATTATGTTTGTAACTCATCTTCTATGTATGTACCTTTACCTGAAAGGTAAAAATCTAATCTAATTTTAAATATATAGTTTATTTTTGAGGTTAGGGGGGGGGGTTATAAACCCCTAAATATGGGTTAGGTTAAGAAAAATTGGGTTAATTAAATTAAATGTTATAAGCCTCTTGCCTGGGTAAACGTGACAATATATGTACGCTGATTCTTCTTTTAGATTTTGGTGTGTAATATTTTAAATAGTTGGCATTTTTCTTCCACTTCCTTATTCATTAAATAGACAGAAATATGACTATGAAAGTTAATTATATATTTGTAAAGGATGTAAATATTAAGAGTTGATTGTGTGTGCTGGAGCAGAGAAGCAGCTGGCTGGGCTGTGCATGGACCTGTTCACCGCCGGGTCGGACAGCAACTCCACCACCCTGTGCTTCGCTGTGCTCCTCGCCACCCTCCACCCGGAGGCCCTCGCCGCCCTGCACCACGAGCTGGACCGTGTTGTGGGCCACGCCTGTCTTCCCGGCCTCGACCACCGTGCCAAGTACGCTATGCTCTTATTCGTAACTATAAAGTAACAGCGGCAGCGATCCATACAAGCCGAGATGATCTAAATCACATGAAATTGGTTTATTGTTGGATTTAAGCAAAATATTATTCTAGTTTTCTTAGCAAGAGAAATTAGTAACAAGACATTGTTACGGCCCTATTGGGTCGCAACTGGGTTCTTTCTCTGATGTTATTAGAGATGGGGTATCCGGCCCCAAGTAAGTAGTGGCTTTCAAGGGGTGTGTTCCGTAACTCAAGTAAATTAAAGGGGAAGGGATAAAACTGCACTAAACTTAAATATATAATTACACCACCACCATAAATAAATATATAAACCGTCACACGCGGTTACTATGACTACACTTATGTACAATGACTTCTTCTTCCGAAGACTCAGGAGGATTCACGGTGCTCAACGATGCTTAGCCCTGGTTCTCTTGTGGCCTTACGATGAATCCTTAGATTCCCTTAAACGAGTCTACCCTGGCCACAGGCCAGCCATATCACAGTCCCACTGGGTGCGCCGTCGTTGAGGCCGTCAACCACAAATCCAGCCTGTAGCTGGCAGGTTCCAATCAGCTACGCTGCGTAGGCCACTCCACGACCGATACTAGGGTTGCGAGCCCTAGGCAGGAGCCTCGTGTGATTCCACAGATCACTCTCCTCAACACAACACCCCAGTGGCTAGTCTTCTCCACCAGTCAGCCCCGGGTACGACAATCCCTGGTTCTGCCACCTCACAGGCAGGCTAACACAACAGTGTTCATCCGGAGGGTGACTCACAGCTTCAGCAGCAAATGCGTGGAGGTTCTACGGCTGCCTTGGGTAGACTGATCCATCGTCGAATACAGCAGTCCCAGGTCGACTCTGTAATCAGACACGTCATCAGTACTAGTTACACTCTAGGGCACCTCACTCACAGGCTTAGACGCAAACGCCCACCTATCCACTCCATAGATGGCGTTGCTGTCTAAGCGTCACCTCACCAGAGGTCAGCAGCGGCTATGTTACGAGCTGATTAAGACGGGACACCAGCCCCTGTGGCCGGTATATCTCGTCCTCACTAGATGGCGTCGTCCATTTGGAGGGGGTTTCGGGAGCTGACCCACAGATGGCGTGGTCGTCACTGCTCCGTGCTCGGACGCTGGGCTCGGGTCCGTAACAGACATCTAATCGTGTTGTATAGAATTATAGTACCCGTGTAAGGCTACATTTAGATTACCAAACACAAATTTAGGTGCTACACTATAGAACACAACTTTTCTAGAAAAAATACATGAAATGAACATATTGACAAGGGCCGTGACGGGGGTTCGAACCTACAACCGAGAGGATCCCAGTCGCTGCCTTAATCGACTGAGCTACGACATGGTTAAAAGAATTGCAACTGGGAAATCATCTTGACTTACCACGGATCCTGCAGTCTCTCCGAGACACAAACCAGGTTTTTACACAATTCCCCCATGCACCCAAGCACTGTCAATAAGCTGTTCTCCCTCTTCGCCCTTACTTCATTACACACAGAAATCACAATAGAGTGAGGCATCAAATGAACAAATCCACAAGGGCCAAGACGAGGGATCGAACCTATGTCCGAGATTAAGGCAGCATCTGGGATCCTCTCGAAAGTAGGTTCGAACCCTCGTCATGGCCCATGAGGATTTGTTCATTTGATGCATCACGCTGTTGTGATTTTGTGTATATAAATATGACCGAAAAAGTAAGATTAATAATTCTAACACGAATTTTCTCAATCTTTCGTACATTACGCTTCACTGTTGGAGGTAAATAAAAAATCACTTCTCCAAAATTCATTTTTATTTCTAGTCTGACGCGACACGGGCGCGTTTTGTAAAACTTATTACATTTTCAAAGACTTCACAAATACTCAACTGATTAGAACTTACGACCATCACGACCGGACATAATGAGGTGATAGCCTAAGCTATTTGAACCACCCCACCGCCGGCACTCGGATAGTAATCTTGGGCATAGCATTTTACCAAATCACCTCATTCTTTGGGGCACACGTGAGGAACACAAATGCGAACAAGCCTGAATGGTCCCCAGGACAATATGCAACTGAAAACTCACACAATGGGTAAACTCACAGAAACAATGGGTATTGAATAGAAGTGTTTGTAGAAAGCCTATTGGTCCATATTTCTTGATGCTTCTATATTGGAGCGGAGTCTTGAGGTGGGTAGAATATAGTTGTGCAATAATTGGCTGTTGATTGCTGGTGTTGACTTCTTGATGTGTAGTGCCTCGCAAACGTCAAGCTGCCTGCTATCACTGTATCTATCGATGATTTCTGTGTTTTTTACTAGGATTTCTCTGGCGATGGTTTGGTTATGGGAAGAGAATAACCCATAACCAAACCATCTCTTCCCATAACCAAACCATCGCCCGATTAATAATCTCTGATTTTTATCTACATTTGAGTGAGGTGGGATGGGGTGATGTGGCATTAACACAAGACAGAACAAGAGGGGATATTAATAGGGTATTAAAAGTATCAACACAAGATAGAACAGAAACAATGGGTATTGAATAGAAGTGTTTGTAGAAAGCCTATTGGTCCATATTTCTTGATGCTTCTATATTGGAGCGGAGTCTTGAGGTGGGTAGAATATAGTTGTGCAATAATTGGCTGTTGATTGCTGGTGTTGACTTCTTGATGTGTAGTGCCTCGCAAACGTCAAGCCGCCTGCTATCGCTGTATCTATCGATGATTTCTGTGTTGTTTACTAGGATTTCTCTGGCGATGGTTTGGTTATGGGAAGAGATTATATGTTCCTTAATGGAGCCCTGTTGCTTATGCATCGTTAAACGCCTAGAAAGAGATGTTGTTGTCTTGCCTATATACTGGGTTTTTTGGAGCTTACAGTCCCCAAGAGGGCATTTGAAGGCATAGACGACGTTCGTCTCTTTTAAAGCGTTCTGTTTTGTGTCTGGAGAGTTTCTCATGAGTAGGCTGGCCGTTTTTCTGGTTTTATAGTAAATCGTCAGTTGTATCCTCTGATTTTTGTCTGAAGGGATAACGTTTCTATTAACAATATCTTTCAGGACCCTTTCCTCCGTTTTATGAGCTGTGGAAAAGAAGTTCCTGTAAAATAGTCTAATAGGGGGTATAGGTGTTGTGTTAGTTGTCTCTTCAGAGGTTGCATGGCTTTTCACTTTCCTTCTTATGATGTCTTCGACGAAACCATTGGAGAAGCCGTTATTGACTAGGACCTGCCTTACCCTACAGAGTTCTTTGTCGACTTGCTTCCATTCTGAGCTGTGGCTGAGAGCACTGTCGACATATGCGTTAACAACACTCCTCTTGTACCTGTCTGGGCAGTCGCTGTTGGCATTTAGGCACATTCCTATGTTCGTTTCCTTAGTGTAGACTGCAGTGTGGAAACCTCCGCTCTTTTCCATGACTGTTACATCTAGAAAGGGCAGCTTCCCATTTTTTTCCATCTCGTAAGTGAAACGCAGCACGGAACTCTGCTCATATGCCTCCTTCAGCTCCTGCAGATGTCTGACATGTGTAAAAATGTCGTCAACATACCTGCAGTATATGGCCGGTTTCAAGTTCATGTCGACTAAGACTTTTTGCTCGATGGTACCCATGTAGAAGTTTGCAAACAGGACACCTAGGGGAGAACCTATGGTGACCCCATCTACTTGCTTATACATGTGCCCATCCGGGCTCAAGAAGGGTGCCTCTTTTGTACAAGCTTGGAGTAGTTTCCTTAGAATATTTTCTGGTATGTCAAGAGGAGTACAGGCTGGATCACGATACACTCTGTCGGCTATCATCCCGATTGTCTCATCCACAGGTACGTTGGTGAACAGTGATTCTACGTCCAACGAGGCTCTTATCCCTGTGGCCCGTGTGCCCCGCAGTAAGTCAACAAATTCCTTTGGAGACTTCAGGCTGAAGACGCAAGGGACATAAGGAGTCAGCAGGTCGTTGAGTCGCTTCGCCAGTCTGTACGTGGGTGTGGGTATCTGGCTAATGATTGGCCGAAGTGGGTTTCCAGGCTTGTGTGTCTTGACATTTCCATACGCATATCCAGGTTTATATTCCCCAATAATTTTTGGCAGGTGGAGTCCTGATTTCTTGGCGTTCACAGTTTCGATCAGTTTGTTGAACTTTGCTTTCAATTCAGCTGTAGTGTCCTTCGTTACCCTTTGGAATTTAGTTTGGTCAGAGAGTATGAGGTTCATTTTCGCCAGATATTCGTCTTTTTTAAGAATGACGTATATTGGCGACTTGTCACCTCTCCTGACAACTATCTCCTTGTTCTCACGAAGGCTTTTAGCTGCCGCTTTGAGCTCGGGGGACAGTATGGTGCTTAGGTAATTGCCTCGATTCTTTCCTCCTTCCGCAATAAGTTCTGCTTGTAAGGTATCTTTGGTAGTGACCTTCTTTTGTGTCTCGAGGTCGAATATGTCGTCCAACAGAATTTCCAACTCCACTTTCCGGGCCATCTCACTCGGTCTGGACATAACGTGACAGTTTATGCCCAGATTTAGGAGAGTGACTTGGTCCTCAGTGAGGTTAATTCCTGCAAGGTTCAGGAAGCCATCTCTTGGTCGTGGAATTGCCATAGGTCCTCCATATAACGTTGTTAGTTTCTTGATAATCCTTGTTTCAGTGCTGAGGTGATGTCGGTCTGTGAGGATGTCGAGGTGTTGTTCAATGCGGGTACGGATACTTTCGTCGATGTTGCTATTTCTCCACTCGTTTGTAGCATGAAGTAGTTGCGTTTTGTTGTCTTTGATTTCATTCTCTGCCTTGTATATCTGATCACGAATCAGATCCTGGCGATATTTTATCGTGAAGGCTTGATTCCTAGCTGCTGGGTCGTGCGTTTTAATATTAGTATATTTTGGTAGCAGTCTTTCCTGTAGACATATATTATTAAATATGACCGAAAAAGTAAGATTACTAATTCTACCACGAATTTTCTCAATCTTTCGTACATTTCTTAGTGATCT